GATCAGAGGGCGACTCGCAGAGAGACAAAGAAGACGACACTGAAGACACTGAAGGCCTTTATGACCATCACAGCAGTGATGGTCATAAAGTTATGTTATGCAAATACAGTATAAATACAGTGGGAATGCAGGAGGTCTTATACAGCTGTGGGTCTACAGTATAATCACCCAGTTATCTGTTGCTTCATATCTTATTGATGACTGAATTGTGCCTCCATGGAGCACTGATATAAATTTTCCTTAAGAAGGTAAAACTGTTTTTTTTTTTGTTTTTTTTTTTTTTTATGAAATCAGCTACTTCCTGTTTGGTTCCCACCTGAGGCATAAGGTGTTCTGTGTTTTCTGTATTCTCATTTATGAAATTGACATTTGTTTGTTCAGAAATATGCAGGAAGTCTTTCTAAGTACTAAAGGGAGCAAGTTTCTTTCTGGTTTTGTTGTAATTGTTTGCCATTTCAGGTTTTTTTTTTTTAAATTACTTTGTAATAATTGTTAAACCTCTGAGTGGTGCTAAGCTAAGTATTAAAATGTCCGTTTTCATTTTTGTTTCTGAGGATTTTAAATGCAACTTTTTCTTCACGTATGGTGTTTCAGTCACCGGTAACATTATTTCTGCTCTTTTCTGCGTCAGATTTCTGTGCTGGGATCCAGGCAGTTGTTGCTAAAGTTGTGTTTTCTTGGTTGATGGTGCTTCTTTGTCTTTTATGCACATTTCCCCCCTATACTGAATATTTCACCTTTTGTCAAATTAAGTGTTTGATAATGCACTTCAGACATTCTTGTTCAAACCAAGTGTTTTATTGATTATTGTCTGTCTTTTTATTGTGATGAACTTTGTGTTTTATGAATACACAGATTCTATTTTTATTTAAACATTTCTTTATCTACTTTTCAACATCACATCTCATTGATGCCTTTATTTATGCAACTGATATGCAGCTTCTCTTTAATTATAAGCTCAAGTTGAAAGATTTCCATCCAACATTTAGTTCCCTTTGAGGATTTGGATGTTTAATTAGCTTTTTGCTGTAGACATCCTTTTTCAGTTTTTCACCTTAATTTTTCTATAAGAAACAAGCATTTAAAATAAAAATAAAAATCAGTTTTTGCTTCCAGACTTTCTTTGAATTCAAGTTAATTGACGTTTTTCCCCACAAAGCAATTCAATTATTTCCTATACAATAATACTAATAATGGGTTACAACATTAAAGTCTTAAAACAGCCAGAAATGACATTATCTGGACCAGAACAGGACCGTCTCAAGCTTATTATGTTGGGAACATTTAAAGCTCAGTTTTAGGAGGAAAATCCGAGAGAGGTTTTCCTTTGACTTTGTAAGAAGTGTTACATATTTGCTTTTAATGCTGCTTCATTTCGAAACAACTCGTCAGCACTGTAAGGTTGTCTGTGGCCAAACAGAGAGAAATCAGGCAAAAAGCTTTTTTAGTGTTTTTGTTTTCAGATGTCAGACTGACCTCTGGTATTGACAGCTATCTATGGTTTATTAAAAACAAAGGAATCAGCTTCTTTGTTACAGCTTCTCATTTGTGGGGATCTATAAGTTACAGTAAAAAAAAAATAAACCCACCAAGTACTTCTTTGGTCTTTGTCTGACTCGGTTAAATAGTGGCTGCTTTAGGTTTCTGGTTTATTATAGGAAACTTAGACAGTTTTCCAGTTGTTTCATGTTCAAGTTTCACTTCCACTCAGCTGATTTCTCTTCATGACTTTTCTTTGCTGCTCCTTCAAAGCAGCAAAGAAAGTTTCCCCCAGCAGGAACAATAAAGGATAAATCTGTGCTATCTGATTCTATCCTACTCTTATCGTAAACTTTTGGGGTTTTATGTTTTGAATCTTTCTTATATTTTTATTTAGCTTATTTTAGAGTTACTATTGTCTCATTTGTGCAGAGTTTCGTAGTTTATTCTTGTGTAAATATGTGTATATTTCTGTGTTAAAGTTAATTTCGAGTATTAGCTCTATTAGTTTCTCTGCATTCTTATAGATTTGCTCTGTGTTTCTCTGTGTTTATTGTTGTTAGATTTTTGCTCTGTTGTTCGTTTGTGTGATATTTCTGATTTCTTCCATTAATTATTCTTCCTTCCCTGCTTCTGTTCTCTCCCAGTTGCTCTGATTTCTGTTGATTGAACTCACCTGGTCTCCATGCCGCAACCGCATCTCTCCCTACAGCATTTATACTCCTTGGTTTCTTGCACTCACTGCTGGATTCTTCCTTTATCCTGTGACTGTTTTGTGTCCTGACTCTTTTGTGTGTTTCCCAAAGTTCTCTGTAAGTTGTTTTCAGTCATAAAGTCCCTCGTTCTTCACTCCACAGTCCGTCTGCCGTTGTCTTGCAGCCATTTTGGTCCTCATCCAAACCTTGAAAACAGGAGGGTTCTATATAAAAAAATAACTCCCTAGTTTGGCTATGTAAACGTTCAAAATAAAAGAAAAATGTTCCAAAGATATGACAAGATGTTCCTACTTTCTGGACACAAGATGTGCCACAAAATCAATGGTGCCTCTTAGTCTGACATGTAAAACCACAATAAAAATATCTTGAAGTTTGTAGTTATGACAAAATGTGCAGGGATTCAAGTGTTATTCAAGGCACTGCGGACTTTAAAGAGTAGAAATAACATACGAAGTACTTGTTGTAAATGTTTTACTTTTGACTAAATTGACACAAATCTGAACTTTCTTAGCAGTAGATGAAACACCTCTGTTCTGTTCAAGGTCTTTTAATATTGGGATTGATGCACAGCAGTCAGGTATCCTGTGTGTGTGTGTGTGTGAGGCCAGAGCCCGGTGAGCGAGATGTTGGCTACAAAAGGGCCATCTGCTGCTGTAAACGCTGGAGCTGTTTTGGGAAGCCGAGAGGTGATTCATGCTGGAAAATTGATTCATTTCTTGTGCTGATAAGCAGCTTCTCTCTTTGTCCTCTCATGCTGCAGCGGCTTTGAAAGGGGCCCCTGGACGACGCGTCTGTTGTCGCAGAGAAAAGAAGCAGGTTGGGAAAACACGATGAGAGCAATAATCTTACAAATGCAGCTCCGAAAACACCGGTCAGCAGCACAGAACCTTAATCAGTCAGCGTACTGTAAGTCTGCACGCCGGTGAACATTATCAACATAATTGGGTCTGGAGGTGTTTCAGAGTTACCGGTGAATCCAGACGGGTTGGTTGGAGAATCTTCACCTGCGTGTGCGTTTGATGAAAGCAAAAGCAGACATTCACTTTGATTTGAGGAGCTGCAGAGGGAATGGAGGAACTTCTTATCGGTGTGCAGCAGTCCACAACAAGAAGGAGACCGGCTGCATAAAATGAAAATTATAAACCACCCACTTTGTGCGTGGGTGTCCATTCCAGTTTAAACCTCTGCACTGATGGAAGGGTGAGAGACCAGCATGAACATATTAGTTGAGATTTAGTCCTGAGCAACGTTGTCTTTTCCTCCCGATCATTAAGACGTTCCGAGTCAGAGAAGTTCATCTCGGGGTCACACAGAAGACAAATAAAAATAACGAAAGCTGAATGCCAGTGGTAGAATATTGTTTTCAAAGACTGGAACCTCGATCTTTGCTTTTCTACAAAAACCGAGCTTAAAGATTGCCCAACAAAACGGAAAGAAACAAATGAAAGACCGTGCACTCTTTGTTCTTCATCAGTCGACATGAAAATGTTTTATTTTTGCAAATAATGAATAGATGAATAATTCATGTTAGCGTCTGATATGCAATTCCTGAAAATTCCCATCAGAATTTTTTCAGCATCTATTTATCCAGATAGTAATAAGACTCTTTGACGGCGGTTCCCGTCAGCGCCTGTGTGAACACAAGGCACCTGGAGGTTATTAATGTGATTAAGGATTGTGTACAAACAGTTCATAGACTGGATTACAGCAGACGTTCATGTCTGCTTTTAGTGCTGGAAGAACTCAGCTTTAGTCTCACAATAAACAGTGATCTTCATGTGACTTACATGAGCTTTGTTTTTGCCGTCATCAGTAATGAATGCTTGGTTATTTGAAGACACATGAGTCTGTGCATCTTTTGTCATTTTCCAGTGAATACCACAACTTTGAAATTATGAGCCCTGCTGGGTAAACTCAACACAAAACTCATTCTGATCAAACGGTTAACTTTGCTTGAAACGATGAGATTGAGTTTTGTCACTTTTAGAAAATAGGACTTTGTTCCATCCTTACAAAACTATGACACTGAGCTTGTGCCTTGCATTTCGTTGGGACAGGAAGCCTTAAAATACCTGATCATCTCTTTCCTGTTTCCTGAGAAAACTTGAATTTAATTTCCAGAACAAATCAAACGGTTCTACACCCTTCTGAGATATCGACAGAGAAATCCTTGTTGATTCACACACACACACACACACACACACACACACACACACACACACACACACACACACACACACAATCAATTATTTTGCATGAACACATGTCTGAAACAGACATCTACCCACAGACAGACAGATTTGGTCCAACACATGAGAATATCAAGTCATGTGTAGATGACAGTCACCGTGGCGACCTCCTCATGCTTTCTGTGGCATCCAGACAGTCTGTCTAAGGTTGCCTTTTGAGGATTATTTGTATGCATGTTTGTAGTTGTGTCATTTTTTTGTTTTGTTTTTTTTTAGTCAGAAGGGGAAAAGTGACAGACTTTTGTTTGCAGAAGTGATCTGTCCCTCGCTAATGAGGAACCGCTTTTCTCCTGCCAGCGGAAGACGCGGCGCTGGGGTTTCACACACTGACACCGCGGTGGAAGGTTTCTCATCTGCGTTGTTTTCCCAGTCTGCACCACAGACAAACATACACAACATATGGAAACGGCTGCTGTGTGCGTGTGTCAGTCCAATGCAAATCCAGCAGCGTTCCTGTTTGCGAACCCCCGGCATCAAGCGAGTGTCTGACACCGAGCAGAGAGGCAAGGAGACAAACAAAAGCAAGCAGGTGAGAGTGCGTGTGTGAGTGTTTTAAGATTTTCTCTTTAATATTAACTATAAAAACCATGTTTTTTATTCTTCCTCCACCAGACTCTACACAAATGTTTTACTGCCTCCAAAGGAGGGCAGGTCACTCACCGACACTCTCTGGTCACAGTCTGTGTCCAACAGGTAAACAATTATCACAAATTCAAGACTTACAAATGAATCAAAAACAGCAGTTATGCACAGAGGGCCTCAAATGCATCGCAAAGAATCAGAAACGTGTTTTTTTAATGCTCTGCTCCAATGAGCTTTACATTCAGGTCAGATAGTTTTATGATTTTAAATTATTATTTTTCTTTTTACGACTTTTGGACTCTTGAAATTGATACGACAGATGAAAGACACAATTTAAATCGATACGAGGCCGAGTTATTATTACACTTTAACTTTGTTTTATTTAGCCTTTAATGTTATTAAAGTATGGGAGTACAATTATCTGACCGTTTCAAGTAGGACACCACTTCATATTTCAGCCACTGACAGACTTCTACATTTCACTTTCTCTCAGTTATATACATAGAAAATACCCAAAAAGAGATTTGAAAGCTTGGATTAACAGATTGGAGGCTTTTTTTTTTTTTTTTTTTTTGCACCACCAGGCAGCAATAATGAATTGGCAACACTGAGATAAAACATACCTGCCCATAAAATGAAGAAGCATAAGTGTAGTAGATAACATTGAGTGTTCCCAGCAAATGATGAAAAGTATTCAGATTTCAGGCAACGTCCACCAGATTTTCAGACATCAAGCTTCTTCTGAGCCCACAGCATCACAGATTATCCACCGTGCTCGACAGTGGGGTTGAGATCCTTTTCCATAAATCGACTCCAGGACTCACCAGGAGAGTTTGTCACCACAAAAAAAAACAAAAAAAAACAAAAAAAAAACAACAATAAAAAAACAGAAGTTTTCAGTTGCAGGATGATACATTTTCTTAGATATTATCTTAAATTAAATATGTATATAATATAAGGGTTTGTACACGGGTACAGGTAAGTCTGTAGACTTCTGCATAAGTCAACTATAAATCCCTCCTGAAAAACTGTGTCCGTATAGCGTTTCTCCTCCGTCACTAAAAACCACAGGTGCATCAATCAATCGCCCAAAGTTGGATTCAGCTGATTTCCCCCTGACACAACAAATACTGAAAAATCAGTCTTTTCTTCAGGCTATTCACTAAATGCTTCAAAAACATAAAATCCCATCATGTTCAGTCTCCTAGTGCATCGACCAAAACATGTACTTTGGCACGCATTTTTGCCATTTCTTCGTTTTTTCTTTTAAGTGCAAAGAAAAGATTGAAAAATGGGTTCAGATTTGAATTGGCAAGTCAGACCTCAAATAAAACTGGAAATCAGAAGCAGAAAAACTCAATAAGTGCCTTTTTAAAACTCAAAACGGGCTTGGAAAAAACATTCATCTGAGCAGCTTGACAGTGTAGCTTTTAACACATTAAGCAGTAAATTCATCAGCCAAATTCAGTGTAGTGCGGCAGCTTCTATTTCAAGAATTTGACCTGCTTTGGGGTCTTTGTTGTAGAGATACATTATATTTCCAAGATTCATAATGGATTGTTAAAAGAAAAACACAGCTTATTCCGATAAATATCTGTCCTAACAGTTCACATTTTGGTGAAAAATATTAACTTTTACAGGCTCCTACGTTATCTGTCTGCACCTGCAGCTGTTCATGTGTGCACCGCAGCAGTGGAGAGCATGACCCCATCTCCACCACTAATGGCCATGCTGTACTTCATAGCGTCTCTACTTCAGCGTCATTTACAGAGCAACATGCATAACGTTTGAGCCAAACGCTTCTTTTGTAAAGCAACCCTACCGATAAACACAGTTTGTGATTCAAACTACGTGATTCCAGCTTTTAGTACAGATCTTCATGTTCTGAAATCTAGATGCGAGAGAAGAAATAATCCCGCCTGCTGCTCCGTTAAAAACCCATAAGACATGACAGTCGGAGAGGATTTCATACGGAAAGAGTTCTTCGTGTGAGAAAGTGTTCAGTCGCTGCTTTCAGTCCTGTCAGCCTGACGGATGTGGGGAACCCGTCGCGTCTCCTTCTGCCTCGCGCCGCTGAGTGACAGTTCAGAGGACTCCGTAGTCCCTTAGCGACTTGAGCAGAACCGTGTCTCTTATGTCGGTAAAAACCTTGCGGATGTTGTTGGTGTCTGTGGCACAAGTGAAGTGTGGGTACATGGTCTTCCACACCCGGGTCTCTTGGTTCATGGAACGCTGCTCGTACATTTTGAGGATGTACTGCTTTGCTAGCTCAGCGTTCTGCTTCTCACCTGCAAGACGATGGTAGACGTTGGAGGGAAAGACAAAAATCTGTGTTGAGTACCAGTAGGAGTTTAAAAAGCCAAAATACATCACAGAAAACCATTTATGTTTTTTTTTTTTTTTTTTTTTTTTTTTTTGGGGGTTTTAGATTAAATAAAACATTTTTAAGGGGGTCAGATTTTTTTATTTTAGCCAAA